GCAGCACTCTTAGTATTTATAATGGCTACTTTGGAGATCCGGCTAGATATATAAGAACCATTCTCCACATAACAACGAACAATTTTTGCCTGTTGTGGAAAATCGGAGGATCTTATATGTGAGCTATAAATGTATGTCTTTAAAACATAGGGCTAGGACGCCTTATATAGATAATATGATGACGTCTGTGGCACGTTCCTTTGTCTGAGGTATTCAGTATGCCAGTGAGTCAAACTTTGTTGGTTTTCTTACAAATTTCTACAATTGAATCGTCTCAGTTACTTTAATTCCTCGGCAACATCTGATTTGCTGTGGGGATGATTTCTCTGAACTCTGCTTAGTGTTCCTAGAAAGTTTCTCTTGCGAACAAAACGCAAAGCTGGGTCTAAAGGGACAAACTTTCTCAAAAATGATAACAAGCTTAAGCTTCCGCACAATACGATGTCCTAAAGTTAGTATCCTTTCATATTCATAAATGTTTTATAGCAATGTTGTCGTTTCTTGTTACAGGTTGCAATTGTTCAAGTATTGGTGCTGTTGACAATGTGTGTAATAATATGACCGGGGATTGTGACTGTGAGCCTTACGTGACCGGCAAGTCATGTGACCGGTGTGAACAGTACGCCTACAATTACACGGAGTTTGGCTGCTTACCCTGTAACTGTAGTTCCTTTGGTTCAACTGACCTTCAGTGTGACTCGGTAAGAACTGCGTAGACGCAGTCTTTTCTACTACAGCCATCAGCGCAAAGTAAGAAGCGGGTGGAAAAAGGAAAAATACGAGAACGGAAGGAAGGGAGGGACAACTCTCTTACCCTCTCTCTCTACGGCTCGTGCGTTCTCTACCCGCTGTCAGTTGTATTTTCTTAGTGTTGTCGCTTTAAACGATTATCTGAAATGTTATGTTTATTTATAACATTTTCCTTCCTTTCCAGATGTATGGCAACTGTAGCTGTAAACCAAACGTGATTGGTCAAAAGTGTGATATGTGTGCTGCTAATTTCTTCGACGTCACACGCAGCTGTCTAGGTATGATCAATATAAAATATGGAGCAATGCTACTCTTGAGTGTAAACAACTTTTACCTCGGTACACTTCCGGCAAATTACATAAAATGTGGCTTGTGTGTTTCTGGTCATTCTGCATGTCGTTTATTTCTTTTTTAGAGTGTAACTGCACAGCTAACCAGACCATTGCAATCTCAACCTGTGACCAGAGATCTGGTCAATGCCAGTGTCGTGTCAGTGAAGCAGGAGGACTGTACGGTGGTAGACAGTGTGAAGGATGCGCTAAGCCATACACCGTCGGTGAGTGGTTTTATTTTTGGCCTGTTTATACAGCAACAGCAACTTTCGCTCGGCGCAAGCGTAACGCTTTGATTACAGAAGGACTGCGAGCAGTGGTGTCTTTTTGTCAGTCGAGTAGTCGGTTTTTTAACGCCCCGAGAGACGTTAACACACCGACTCCGCGACTGATTAGCCACACGAACGACTTCGTAAATGCTAAAAGTCATGCCAGAAAGAAATGCTGGGTACATCTACCAGCCATCTTACTCCCCAATTGGATACCTGACGATTCATGATAAGCCTTAGAGTGCTTGTAAACCACTGACAAAGAGTGCCGGCCCAAGATGTTGCTGTATTTACACCACTACTGACTCCTTTTTTTACGTGTTTGGAAATACATGTCATACCCGAGACGAAATAGTTGCTTTTCTTTGTCAGAAATAATACGTCGTTGAGTTTACGGTTAACACAGGAAAATGTTAGAGCCTTCTTTTCCCGTGACAGAGATAGCCTTACCGTAGGGGTGTTGGTTTGGATTGCCACCACGATTGTTGCCTGACAAGTCAGAAGAACAAACAAAGGAAACACTAATATTGGAGCCCCATGTATAGCCTGCGAATACGGCCGTCTCTTCTCGCTCCTTGCCGCTAAGGACGTTTCGCTGGGCTACCTTAGGAAGTGAATTCTCTTATAGACTCTTTTTGTATTGAAACGTTAAGATCTAGAAAATGGATTGTTGTTCAAACTTCATGGGTCGATTATTTAAACGAAGTCTAACTTAAGTCGCGGTTTAACAAATCTTTGGACCTCAAAATCTCTTCCTAAATGGGTTATTTTAAGAAGATGAATATTTTTCTTGTCTACTCTGTATGCTTTCATAAAACTGTTCATAAGAAATGGTCTTTAGATAAAACCGTTGGGCAAATTGAAAATGGCTTAGAACGCGGTTTTGTTAAACACTGGCTAAACTACGTTTAAATGACTAGCTTCATATATTTTTACTGGAATGTCTGTAAAAGAAGGGTATATCTTGAAGACTAGATAATTATGTGATTTTCGGTTTGATTTTTAGGGAGTCCACCCAGGTGTCATCCATGCACAGAGGCTTGTTATAGGAATTGGGTAGGGCTGATCTCTGATGAGACAGAGAAAGTGAACGAGTTGAAAGGCAATGTGACAGAGCTGCTAGAGTCATTTGGCAGCATGTCTGTGGACGGAATCAATAGTACTTTACAAATGCTAACGGCAAATGTCACTTACGCAAATGGAATTTTCAGCAGCGGGGGAAGGGCTGACTTGGTGAAGAAACGTGAACAGATTAACCGGGTAAGTACAGTGGAATCTCTACATGCGGACACCGCAGAGCTGTAAATTACAGTCAGCTTACAATGACGGTCCCCTTATCGTTCCTAAAGTCGGTGGCGAATTGTCAAATACTAAAGATTATAATTTTATATCTGAACGTTTGCATAGTCAGGGCTGTCACAAAAGATTTCGACTTGCCGGCTATGGTTACATGCAATTAGTAAGCGGCGAATGGAAGATTTTCCCTAAGATTCATACAGTTTGTACCTCTCAGTACTGACACTTCTGTAATGCCGGTGGCTGCCTCTGTCCCTTTGATATCCTTGATTATTAAGGAGGTTCGTTACTTGAGGTAGTATCATAGGCGGCCCAAACTTACGTTGCGAAAAGTAATCTACATGCCATAGGTGACGCGTGGCCTTTGTGCTGGGTGCGCCGGTGTCGCGTTACTGGCGACCGTTGAAAATAAGACTTTGTATAAGTAATAAAATACTAAGATCTGCGAACGGTAAATAGAGTTAAATCTAACTTTTCCTTCAATGAACCAATGACTCCACCCATAAGACGAAGTCAAACGGCATGCATAATGACTGTCTCTCGCTAGCATGCAAGCAAGCTCTCCATGTGGGGGAGTCGCGAGAAGTCACGCTAGAGGAGGAGTTTGTTCGCAGGGTAGTCTCTCGCATTCTGTTTGTTCTTACTGTTTGGGTATTCTAGACTGTGAGAGACTTGGTGATTTAATGGTTTTTTTGCTTAGTAAGAGCGAATCTTGTCATGTCAATGATATTTTAACCAGACAATCAGAACTAATTTTAAAAATCTTTTACAGATTCAAAACTCCGTCAACTCTTTACAACAGCAATTGAACTCTTCCCAGCATTCAATCGAGGACGCGCAAAAGTACCTGGCAGAACACGTGGTAAACTACAACGGAAGCGTGCGTATTCTTCCAGCCACCCCTCTGTCGTACCCATCTTTCCCTGTGGTGTGCCCCAGTGGGGGTGGGCTTAGTGTGATTGTTGACTGGCAGTGTATTGAAGCCATGGCACAGAGCTACCGCCAAAGAGCTATGAAAGCTAACGCCTCGGGATACGCCAACTACACCAGCATTCGAAGTAGTTACAGCATGGTAAGATGCTCAGATGCACTATTCTTGTTTTTACTTAAACTGGGGTGAAGAGAGACTTTTTTTTTAAATCGCTCAGTCGACGCGATTGTCTCAGTCGTTGCTCAAAGGGCTCGCACACGGTCTTGAATTCTTGAAAAAGTCTTGAAATTTGCGTAGCAATTTTCCATACCTAAAGTCTTGAAAAATGATAATAAGTCTAGAGTTTTGTTTTGGAAAGCTGCAACAATTGCTCTATAAGGGAAAGTTTTTTAGTTTTATTGTTTTGGTCAAATCTAATTCAACCTTGCTCTTACGTTTGCAGCGCATCATGAAAAAAAGTTTGTTCCTGCGTTTTTTAAGGTCTCTATTGATCACCTATTTGATAACCTTGAGTCTGAAAAAAGAAATGATTGTTTTGGAAAAAAGTCTGCAAAAAGTCTTGAATTTTGGATCCAGAAATCTGTACGAACCCTTTGCTCAGAGTTAGGGGTTTTACTTAAAGAAAAACAAAATGATTATTTGACTCAATTTGAATTCGCACTCCAGACAGGTGTATTTCGTGATTTTTTTGTTGCAAAATTAAAGTTTAGATAAAGCGAGATGATTATTGTTGAACACCTTTTGCTTCTTAAAGTTATTTAACAACAAAGTATGTTGAGGAATCCGAAAACATGAAAGAGTGCAGCTAGAAACAGGCGACGCTGTATGTCTCTTTTAGCTATTTAGGCCATTCAGCCTGACCGAGTGGTCAGCGCGTGGGACTCGCAATCTGGCTTGGGTTCGAGTCCTGCTCTGGCGACTTGCTGGATTTGTTCTCGGTTGTGCAGATTTCAAATCCTGGGTTGCCTCCTTCCAGTTAGGATTTTAATCCTGTTATATTATATTTGTGATAGTTGTTTCTAATTATTTGAGTGTAGTGCCTGTAAACTAGCCGGATAAGCTACGTGCACCTTACTATAAACAAAGCTGTAATTTTTTCACATTTGTTCTTTGTCTTTGAAACAGATTCAGCAAGCAAATACCACAGCTTATCTTGCTGCTAATCAGATCAGCGAATCAATCAACAAACTCGGGCTGGTGTCAGTGTTACGAGAGTCAGTCGAGTCACGTCTCGGTGACAGCTTTCAGAGCATGTATCGTAACCATTCACAAAAGCTGGAAGAGATCAGTCAAATCATTTCAGTTGTACAGGAGTTGGTGTCGCTTGCGCAAGACTTGGGAGAGAAAGCGAACATGAATTTGACGCAGGCGATGGAGATTGCTTCAGAAGCGAAGAATGTTTCGGGTCAGCGGAGGCGTGAAACGCAAAGTGCGCGGGACAGCGCTTCAAATGCTCTCTCTGATGCGATGCTGGTGGAGATGGAAGCAGAGAATGCCTTGAATACAGCTACAGAGTTTAAGGTCAGTTTACATGCCTCATGATAAATAGGGAATTGATAGGGAGGATCTTGCATATGCAATGTCGGACCAGAATGTTTGGGTTGTTTTTTTTGTGCGCCCCGGCAGAAACCAACTACGCGACTGACAAGCGACGCGAACGACTTCGTAGACGCTAAAATACATGCAAAAGAGAAACCTCTGCTCGCAGTATAGAGCGAAATGGCCGAATGATGATGGTGAATGATAAATAAATTGGCCCGCTCGAGAAAAATCTGTTGAAAGTAAAAATGAATTTTATCCATAGTCGGAGAAGTTCAATCAAAAGTTAAAAAAAATAATCATTTATCGTGGAAAAACAATCATTGGCGTATAACTCCCATTGGAGATATCGTGGAGAACGCAGAGAAATCCAAAACGAAAAGAAGAAAATTTATGAACTGGCAAAAAAGTTGGAGAAAAATTTGATACTCCAAAGTGAGTGACATTTTTATGATGCTCAGGGAAATGTCACGGGAAAATGAAGTCGGGAGAATATAATTTTGAATGGACAGTAATAATATAGGTTACACGCTTGTTGCTATTGCTGACATCACCTACTGTGTAGTTTTCGTTTTTCAAAACTCTCGTTCATGTTACTCGAAAGGATCATTATTTTTTTGTGTGTGTTTGTCAGTGCGGTGCTTATTCGAAAAAAAGGAGGGAAGCGCTCATTTGAGTAAATGAAAGTAATTTGAAATACGTGCTAAAAACCACTATAGAAACGATTGGAACACTGGGCCTTGGAAACTTTCGCAAAGACTTCCGGGACTGTTACTAGGGGCAGGGAAAATTGGCCAATAGCTGACCAGTACCTAGTAACGATCCCAGAAACAATTGCGGGACGCGATTTTGTTCCCGTTCCCTCCTCGTTTCTAAAGTGGCGAATAGGACATATCCTAGTCATTCAAAGACTACCGCAGCATATGTCAATTGAACATTCTAATTTCTAGGAGAATGCCACGAAGGTTCTTAATTACACGAAAGAAGCCATTGTTAACGTAACAGAAGACATCAACACAATAGCAAGAGTGAAAAACATGACAACCGAAGCCATGACGATTGCAGATGAAGTTCGAACCATGACCATGCCGGTTACACTTCACCAGATTCAGAACTTAACAGAAGATATACTTAACACTAATGTCAGCCGTGAGATGGTGAATCAGACTTTAGAATCAGCTCAACAGGGGCTCAAGCAAGCCAGACAGGTGGAGGAGTTATCACAGAAGGCCATGTAAGTTGGAGATTTGTTAGATAAAAAGCCAGTTGTCAAGGTTTTGGCTTTCAGCTTGCTATTTACTGATTTTTTGGTGCTGTGTCGTATAAGTGAGAGTAGACTCATTTGCATCGTACACGCATATCCGTCACATTTGCCTGTTAGATTATTTTTCCCATCTAAGAGACACTGACAACGCGATCGCCACTTTGAAGACTAAAAAATAACAGTCCGTTCACAGTTTAGTAATAGCCTGTTGAAAGAATGGGAAGTGATTTAAGAAGAGAGGATTAGACACCGGATTCAAAGAAACAGCAAACAATCGATGATTGACTAAAATTTAGTTAATTGTGATCTCATCCCATTTCGACCTTCATCTCATTTTTGTTCTTTCCTTTTTGTTTTAAACAGAACCGTGGCACAACAGACACTCGGCCAAGTGCAGGATATAGAGACAGCTATTAACTCATCCCAGCATCTCAGACAGCAAGGACTCACACTACAGCAACAAACTGATACAATGATCAATAGCATCAACAATATCACTCAGACGGTAAGAGAATAGCCTCCCACGCAAACCTTCTTAGGGGTTCGTCACGTATTCCTGCCCGACGATACTTGGGAGGATTGCATGACGAGCCAAAAGAACGTCTGCGTGGGAGGTTAGTAAGAGAATGATCTACTTTTTGCTTCCTCCGTTCCTCATGTCGAGGGTCAGCGTTACTTGGGCACCGAACAGATATATTTTTTAGGCTCTGTTCACACAATAGAGGATAGCTTTTTGTGTCGACATGAAATGCCACCCACCTTTCCGATATGTGACTCTCCACTTTAGAGATCGGCTCGGCGCAACTTTTAGGGGCATCCAACGACGGTTTCCTCCTGAACACATTAAAAACACTTTTTAGACTGTTCAGAGTACTTTTAGGTCTCTAGAAATGAATTGTAAGCGGCGCTACAGAATTTTTATCTGTTCGGTCATCCTAGGGAAACTTGAGCTTCGTCGAAATTACAAGGGCTTCAGTATTATTTTTCCGAAATTTTAGATGCAATTTAACGTTTAACGATAGTGAGAATTTTTCTGATTCCTCTCTCCATCACATTTTGGAATCAGAAACTTTTAGGTTTTCTTTTTTCTACCATAAAATAGTGTAACCTAGCCTGCGAGCAAGCTCTCCTATTTGGGCGAGTGAAACGAGTGTAACCTGGGGAGTGAAATGCGAGAAATTAAACTTCAGAATATCGTGGTGAATTTATCAGATAAGTTTCGAAAATTGTACGTGAATCGAACTGTCATCTAGAAATTGTTAACCGTCCTCAAGCTATAGAAAATTCTAGGCAATATTTTCTTCTCCGAACAGATATTTTACAGAAAACAGTCGTTGGGTGCCCCTGAGCTATGCCCCGTTGCAAAAATTTCGCCGAAATCACCGTTCTTATGTGTGAACAGAATGCCTTTCCGGTATGGTTTTGTTAAAAAGCTCTTCGGTATGGTATGAACATGACCCTAAACTCCTTACCTTTCTGTAGAGAAATCAGGCCGACATTTTGTTAGGCTAATGCAGTGCCAAGCGTGCAAAACATTGTGTGATGCCGGCAACCAAAAGAATCTGTCGTGCATTGTGTTTTGACGCCGGCGCCCGCCTTAGGCTACACGTGTAATTTGATTTGCATAATTGCCATTATTTCCAGAGCCAGAAAATTCAATTTGTTCTTTTTTCGTTGTCTGTCAGGTTGAAGACCGTTTCTCAGCTTCTTATTCGTCAGGACAAAGTTTACTCACGAAGATCAACAATACTTTGTCTAACATGGATGAAAGCCTGATGTGCTTTGACAAAGCGAAGACTGATTCACAAAACGCGTCGCGAACCGCTCAGCTTGCTTTCAACATCTCCGAGACTGCTAAGCAGGTACGTTCGTTATTCTTTTGACGTTTATTCGACGTTTTTGCTCGCTTATCGCTCTCCTAGTATTACACCGCAAAGAGCACTGATTGACCTCGCAGAACAGTAGTATGTGCGATGCACAAATCTGACTGTTCAACCATCTTCAAAGCAGAGACCTCATGTATTGCTTTTCTTTTATCAGACGTTCGACAACAGTAGTGCATCTCTGCCGCCGGTCGCATCTTTGGTGAACTCGTCTTATGATGCAGCGAATGCGAGTCTTTCAGAGATACAACAAACTCACGACGACTCAGAACAGCTTCTACAAGATGTGGTTGAGGCTGAAGGTAAAATAAGTTCTAAATTTCATGTTCCACGCGCTCCTGCTAGATTCAGTTTTTCTTGTTTGTCCTTCAACGTTTGCCCAGTTATTCTTACCTAATGCTAATGAACAAACAATATATATTGTTCTCGCTCATTATCATTAGGTTTGTCCCATGAATTTAAAAGTTTGACGTTTGACCTTATGCTTACCCTGGTCCCTTCGCGACTTTTTTTTGGCCGCTTTGCGGCTCGCTATCTCCCACCCGGAGAAAAATTTGGGACCAGGTTAACGTTTGGGACCAGGGTATCCTATGCAAAAAACAGGCAAAGAAAACTTTGGCGCGTCAATTTGTTCCGGCGTTACTTCGTCCGGGTCCCCAGAGAAACAGGCTCATTTACGGTGTAATATAATTTGTTACTCACAGCTGACGTAAAATAAAGAAAACAAAACAACTTTATCAATGACCCTTACCCCGACAATAGTCCATAAAACAAAGAAAACGAATAAATTATATTATACCGGGGAAGACCCAAGAAATACCTCATTGTTTTCGAGTGACATTAGTTCATCATAAACCGGGGTGCTTTTACAGATGTATTAGTAAGAGAGATTCTTACGGCCTAAAACTGGCTGTGTACGAGCAGAAATAGGTTTTACAGGACAACTTCACGCCCCCAGTAAGGTTACCATTTTTCATAGAAGCAGTCGTGCGGTGGTGATCTTCCACGCAGTGTCGTGTTTTCCTCATTCCGCTATACGTGTTCTATATTTACGGAATGTGGTTTCTTATCCTTTAGAATTACTAGAGCAGTACATCACGCAACGAGAGGAACTTGAGAGACTGGTTAGAGATCTTCAACAGTTGGATAGTGAGGCTGAGGATTTGTTAGCACAGTTTAGTGTAGCTGCTGACCAATACGGGCAGTGTGCGGGCGCCGCATGATAAAGAGAATAAGTGGTTTTTTATATGTTTTGTAAAATACAACGCGGCATTATATTCTCCTTTACCGAGATCAAAGTCCGGCTTAGGAGGCGGTAGCCTTATGAAGAGGCCAGGGCTAGACAAGCAATATAAGAAAGCCCAAATGAAAGCAACGAGTTGATAGTAATAGGCGAGTTCGTTGAAATTAAGATGATTATTATTATGATGAGTTCTTCAAAATGGCAGCCTATCGTTTAGGTTTTCTATTGTTTTTTTTAGAAAGTTTTTAGCAATAGGTGGCCTGCTTTAAAATGTACATATGAATAGCAGAAAATACTTCTTAACAATTGCGCGTAAATTCAAGTTTTTTCACAATTTTTGATTTTACGTTTATTCTTTTGAAGAGATGTTCGTGTTTTATTTGCTTGCTGTTTTCCAGCACCGTTGTTTCTTTTAATTCCGGAGCTACGAATTATCTGTTTTAGCTTGAAAATTGAGAAGTGAAGGAATAATAGCGAATGATTTTCCTAGCTACTCGAGAATATTTTGGTTTCTTATTTTAAGACGATAAAGCTTCCAAATGAATCAAAGGGATGTGCTTTNTTCCGCTATACGTGTTCTATATTTACGGAATGTGGTTTCTTATCCTTTAGAATTACTAGAGCAGTACATCACGCAACGAGAGGAACTTGAGAGACTGGTTAGAGATCTTCAACAGTTGGATGGTGAGGCTGAGGATTTGTTGGCACAGTTTAGTGTAGCTGCTGACCAGTACGGGCAGTGTGCGGGCGCCGCTTGATAAGGAGAAGAAGTGGTTTTTTATATGTTTTGTAAAATACAACGCGGCATTATATTCTCCTTTACCGAGATCAAAGTCCGGCTTAGGAGGCGGTAGCCTTATTAAGAGGCCAGGGCTAGACAAGCAATATAAGAAAGCCCAAATGAAAGCAACGAGTCGATAGTAATAGGCGAGTTCGATTAAATTAAGATTATTGTTATTATTGCGATGAGTTCTTTAAAATGGCAGCCTATCGTTTAGGTTTTCTATTATTTTTTTTTTAGAAAGTTTTTAGCAAAATGTGGCCTGCTTTAAAATGTACATATGAATAGCAGAAAATACTTAACAATTGCGCGTAAATTCAAACTTTTTCATTATCTTTGATTTTACGTTTATTCTTTTGAAGAGATTTTCGAGTTTTATTTGCTTGCTGTTTTCCAGCAACGTTATTTTTGATTCCGGAGCTACGAATTTTCTGTTTTAGCTTGAAAAGAATAATAGCGAATAATTTTCCTAGCTACTCAAGAATATTTTGGTCCCTTATTTTAAGACGATAAAGCGTGCAAATGAATCAAAGTGATGTGTTTCCTAGTCAAAGCTTTATTTAATCATATGGTTCGACGCTACAATCTATCTTTGCCGTCCATTTGACATCACATAGACCGGCAACCTTAGAGACTTATTATACTTTTAGTGTAAGAATGGCACTAAGCAGAAGACACTAAAATGGCCTTGAAAAGTCGCTGGTGGCCAGAGAACTTGAGATATCTTTGCAGAAATTTCATGTGATTTTAGATGTGAAGATTGAGCTTCAATATTTTAATGAAAATTTACGTATTTTAGATGATGATTGTTAGTCTAGGGTCTTACTTGCAGTTATATCCTCTGCCATTCTGTCAAGAAACAAGCGGTCTGTAGAGGCCTCTTTGTGCTCCTTGATAAATATCTTTGCAGCCTGTGTAGCTGGCTGCAAAGCCTATTTTTCTTTCGAAAAAGGTCGTCGCCAATTTTTAACGGTCGATTCCACCATTGGTAACCAAGCCTTAAGTCAAGATACTAGATGTAATATATTCCTGGATTAAGCTGAATTTACGTTAAAAGGGCAAGGGTCACCTATTATTGATCTATCAGTTAAGAAAGACACTTTGCTAGTTTATGTACTTAATTTTTTCGGAAGTTTGGCGGATCGGTGTGGTAGTGTAGTGGTAATGGAGAGATAATGTGATACGAAAGGTCCGAGTTTGACCCTGGGTTGCGATCTTCTTTCTTGTAAATCGAAACACTCTCAGCTAGTCTCAATAACAGGCCAATTTTTTTTGATTGTCTGAAAAATGGCAGCAACCGTTTACGAAAGGGAAATTTGCGGCGGCTGGTTGGGATCAAGCCAAATTGAGTGTTTTCTATGTCTGGTTACCTCGATAATCACTGATTAGTCACTATTAATGATCCGAGAAACAAAGCGTCGAGCTCTAGAGCTCGCTCTCCTTTTAGACACCTCGCTTTCAGGTTACTGGAGATGAGGTTTATGAACGTTTGGCCGCCGTACAATAATAAACTAGGAATCACTGATTTAACTGTACGATGGAAATTTGAGACCTTTTTAACAAATGATTTTAGCTTTTACTGGTAAATGATATATGAGAAATGAATCGTATGAAAAGAAATGAAGCAATATTTTGTAGGTGCAAAGCTTATAATTATTATTATGATAAGCTGTGTGTTGTACAGTATTTATTTATGGCTTGAAGATCTATAGTGTGCATTTTTGCATTAGATTTTCATAGGAATAAAAACTTTTTATTCATATCCGTTGTTTGAGAATGTTTATTATTGGGCTGCCTGTGGCACACAGTTATGAAATAGTCTTTCTCCGTCGAAAAAAGACAAACCTAGAAGGCGTTGGGTGTCCCACTCCCCCTGCAATGGGGCCGATTTTTGCGGGGAGAGGACGTGTCATTTCAAGTCGTCTGGCGAACAGATTAGGAAGTAGATTTGGAACCAACGCAACATTATTGCGTGGAGTTAATTGGCCCTATATCTCAATACAGTATTCGATGATGNGCTTATAATTATTATTATGATAAGCTGTGTGTTGTACAGTATTTATTTATGGCTTGAAGATCTATAGTGTGCATTTTTGCATTAGATTTTCATAGGAATAAAAACTTTTTATTCATATCCGTTGTTTGAGAATGTTTATTATTGGGCTGCCTGTGGCACACAGTTATGAAATAGTCTTTCTCCGTCGAAAAAAGACAAACCTAGAAGGCGTTGGGTGTCCCACTCCCCCTGCAATGGGGCCGATTTTTGCGGGGAGAGGACGTGTCATTTCAAGTCGTCTGGCGAACAGATTAGGAAGTAGATTTGGAACCAACGCAACATTATTGCGTGGAGTTAATTGGCCCTATATCTCAATACAGTATTCGATGATGTTGTTAGCCTATGCTGAAGCCGCAGTAACAATGCCGTCCCAAGGTCCCCACGGGAAAAGTCTGGCCGTACAAGAAAGGAATATGCTATTTGTAGATCGCCTGGTCAAAGGGAAACATTCACTTGTCATGGATAGTTAGAAGGGCTTCAAATGCAAAATCCGACAGAAAAAATTGAAATTTATTTGCTTTGCGAGTTATAACGGTATTTTAAATGCCAAAATGGATCCCCGTCACGTTTGACAATATTTTTTTGAATTTCCGGCTAGATCAAATTACCGTACTCACCTTATACTGTAATGCTATATTTTTTCTATTTTTTTTTTTTTTTTGCGGGGGATGTGGGGAGAGATTGTCGGAAGGGGCGGGTGCGTTGGTTAGGGTTAGGGTTAGGGTTTAGGCAATAATTTTAACTGGAAATGTTCCAGTTGGAAATATTGCCAATCGGTTTCTCGTTTCAAAAGTATATATATCTCCACCCCTGTTCCACCGGATAAGACTAGCTATAGCTCGAGCCGGAAAAAAGTTTAATCATAGCCTATACTTCCCAAAATACTAAACTACTTTACATCACGCAGTCGGCAGCCCAATGAACCGCCACTGTGGGGCCTTCAAATGGAACTGACGAGCCACCGTCGGGCAGGACGGAGGATCATTTGCGGTCTATTTTGGGGATCATTTCCGGTTTGGGGATCATTTGTGGTCGGGGATCATTTGCCGTACTGTACATCTCTCTAGACTAGTCTTGTAGCCGAGATTGAATTCCTTGGACTACGAAATTCTAAATGCCGTCAGTACATCATGGGAAATGGCAAACGGTTTTTAACATTTCCAAGATGATGTAGGGCTGACTTGCTATTCACTTCTCAATTTTCCACCATTTTAAGACCTGTAC